TGCCACTGAGTCCTCTGTTGCTTTCCCGTACAGCCTGTAACATATCAGCAGCACCATCAGCTCCATTCCTTTCACAAAGTGGCTTCTCGAATACATCCTGTAGTTCATAGTCTGTAATACACAGAATAACTCCGATAAAAACAAATTCATAGTCAATGGTTAACTCGTATTGAGACAGTATCACTATTCGCAAAAAGATATATGTGAATCAATCATCAATTTAGCCAAATCAGAGAACAAGCAAAGATAAATCCTAGCTGATGAGAATATCTATTAACAGTTCTTGGACATCAAAATTTCTGCAGCTACTGAGCAAACTAAGAATCTACAGATGACAATCAAAGCAATACATATCCTAAAAGGAGGGAAGAACCGCTCCATTTGGCACATTGTCTCAACTAACTCAGACTCACTAGAAATCAGCTTCTCTGGATCAATCACACGCTGGCACAACCTGTTGAAGTAGTTGCATAATCGAGTCACAGCAACTCTTGGTCCTTTTGGTAGCAATCCTCTCAAAGCAACAGGCATTAAGTTTTGCATAAGGAGATGATGATCATGCGACTTCATACCACTAATAACAGGAGGATCAAGAGAAACACAATTTGCAATATTGGCACAGTACCCATCAGAACCTCTAAACTTAGCTAACATATTCAATCTCCTTAACAAACATGGCAGAACAAAAATAGAACAACAAGGAGAGAAAGGATTCACAATCTTACGATTAAGCTCAAGTCTTCTTTGGACAAAGGATTTGTAGAATCTGTCAAGAAAAAAAATACAAATGATCTCACAAATCAAAAAGAGACATTCACACAAATAACAAGAACAACAAATAAGTACGCTACAGATTTTGTCAAATATATTGGGACCAGCACATGAATCTTATTGATATTTTATAAAATACGACAGTTCATGTGAAATCATATGGGATTACACATAGAAACAAGTCGAATTCGTAAGTTTGAAACAAAAATTAAAAATCCCTAATTCATACCTTCACGAAATCTGACCCAGAGAGCTACCTGCAAAAATCAGAAGTTTTCAATTGGATTAGAAGCTGTTTAACCCAAATTAATCAAAAATAACACAAGTCCAAACGATACATGGAAGAAGAAACAATTAACTGAAGAGATCTATCAGTCGACATTGAAGAATCCTAAATCGATATATACCAACCTAAACTCTTAAAGATTCAACCTAAAACTCAAATTATACCTGTGAAATTGGAATAAGATGCCAGCGACGACAACGGCGGCGAAGGTCGTCTCGGAATTTCACGGCGACAACGACAAAGCTTTGTACAGGTAGAGAGAAAGAGAGAAGGGGAACACGAGAGAAAGCTTAGTGTTCTTTTTGCTTTTTTTTTTCTAAGTGTTTTATCTTTGTTAGTGAGGGAAAAAATGCAAAAGTGATTTTTATTGTTTTCATTTATTTTGCCTTAGACAAAATCAGAAATTCTTTCCCTCTTAACATTTTTAATAGCGGGAATTGAACTTTAGTAACCCGAAAATTTGCCGCGTGAATTTCATATATCCCGCTTCAATTATTTATAGCGTTTACAATTCACAAAACGCTATCTATTAAGTCAAACATAGCATAGACATAAAAAACGCTATCTTTTAGTGCTATCAATACCCACATTTCCTGTAGTGCCAGATTCCTACGGCAATGGGAATTTTTCCAACGGAGTCTATTTTTGCGAATTTGGACAATTTATTTTGGAGAATACCTTCGGAATTTGATTCTTCAGCCTTTCCATGGATTATCTGGTATATTTGGAAAGCAAGGAATGAAAAAACCTTTGAAAATATTGATAAAGATCCGTTAGAGGTATTACGGTTAGCGGAAAAAGAAGCACAATTGTGGCATTCAGCCCAAATCGAGCTTCATCATGAAACTAATGGTATTGTGGAATTGGTAAATCGTTCTCGAGTGGGGGATGCTTCACTTGATTCGAATTATTCTGGATGTCGTTGCTTTGTGGATGGATCGTGGAAAGAAAGTGATAAGTTCTCCGGTGCAGGATGGTTTTGTACATCATCAAACGGAGAGCCGCCAACCATGGGAGCTGCCAACCTCCGTAGAAGTCTATCTCCATTACATACATAATTCGAGGCTCTTCACTGGGCGATGAAGTGTATGATTGGTGCAGATAATCAAGAGGTAGAGTTCCTTACAGACTGTTCTGATCTGGTGAAGATGGTGTCTTCTCCAACCAAATGGCCGGCGTTTTCAGTGTACTTGGAGGAATTTCAGAGCGACAAGGAAGAATTCTCATCCTTCTCTTTATCTTTAATTTCTCGTAATGCTAATGTAAAAGCGGATAATCTAGCACGAAAGATTCGTGCAGAACCGCTACATATCACATATGTAAACAACATTCCCCAGGAATGGCTCTTTTGAGCTCTAATTAATTTCGGATGACAAAAAAAAAAAATATAAACTTAGATATTACATACACATATGATTAATTGTGAACGATAAAAATATGAAAAAATAATTATCACGGTTAGAAAATATGAAATAGAACAAAAATTATTTTCAAAGGAGTATAAATCATTTAGAGTAAAAAACAATTATACTAGTACATGTAAAATTTTACCCGAAATAGGAATATTTATTTGTAAGAAAAAATAAGTATAGAAATCACGAACAAATACATATTGAATATGAAGAAAATTTTGTGGTTTAAATATAGAGTTAAAATACAAGGGTTTTTCAAGCGGTTAGGTTAGAGTGCAAAGTTTGACAATGAAATCCGATGTATGTGGATAAGAATAAACCAAAGATAATATTTGATATGTAGGAGCTGTTGACCAAAAAATATTTTGTAACTGATTAGACAAAATAAAATATAAAAAAATAAAATAAAATAAAAAATCTGATATAAGTTAACAATAACTTAATAGTCTAATCAGTTATATGTTAGCGAAGAAAACGTAAAAAGATATAAATATGTCAGAAGGCAAAAAATGCATTTGGAACATGGCGAAAGAAAACAGTGAAAAATTTCTAAGAGAAATTGATTAAAACTGGATAAGTACGCACATGACTAAAATAAAATCTTTTAGTTGTCATTCATTCTATATAAATGAGTTTAATATTGTTAAATGTCTTTACAAAATTAGTGGTTCGGATTACCGGTTTAAAAACAGATTAAAATATTTGGTCATGTAAGAGTGTTGTATGTGAGAGGAGATACAAATATTCGTGACTTGGTCAAATATGGAAAAAACTCCGACAATTCCAATTTAGCACACACACAAAGTTAAACAAAAACATCCCAAGAACGTAATTCCATCAAGCTATTGGAAGTGGGACTTGTTTGTGGACGATCAAAGCCATATAAAACACTCTAGAATCTGATTTGCTTAGCCACAATTGTGCCTTGTTCAGATTGCTGGACTAGCTTCATAGGTTTGACTCGTAGTATATATAGATATATATTTTCAAGAACAAAGCCAAGGAGAAGATAAACCTTAAGAAAAACTTCTACCGATATCTTGTACTAGAGCTCTGTCCTTGAGTTCTTGTAGATGGATGGTTATTGCTCGTGTTATAAATAAGCGTTTGTTATAAATACAGTTTTCTTTATTTTATAGTGGATATAAATATAAATAATAGAAAAAAAATTATACATGCAAAACAAATTGGGATATTGAGTAATAAAGTAAAACGAGTGAGGAATTTTGTTATTACTTTTCTTGTCATTAAAATTGTAAATTGTGTATTACATCAATCGAATTCGTTCGTTTATATAGAAGTAAAATAGTAAATTACTATATGTGTATAGTGACAGTGAGCTCTATATAAAAACTTTCAAGCACAATGTCAAAAATATGTATGCATCAATTGTTGACAGATTGTTTACACACAATGTTAGACGGATATATTAATTATATCTCTAAACCAACAAAAAATATTAATAAACAAAAAATTAAGTAAATTCCTGAAAAATAAAATGTAGAACTGCTGCTAATTTTATCAGCAAATGTTTTTACCGTTTTCATTTCTAGACCGAAGAAAGGTAAGTAAACTCGGGAAAAATTAAACGTAGTACTAGAGCCAATTCTAAAATGAAAGTTGATTAGATATCGGGGTTTAAAAATATTAAGAATAATATTATCTCACATTGGAAAGAACAAGGGATCTTGACTAGTATATAAGGTATATGGGTCACTCCACTCATTGCCAATTGGTTTTGAGTTGGAAAGCCCATATTCTAATATATCTTATATACTAGTCAAGATCTCTTGTCCTTTCCAATGTGGGATAATATTATCCCTAATACTTAAAGCTCGCCACATCGCAGAAGCAGCTTTGTTTTTGGCTTCTGATGATTCGGCTTATATTAGCGGTTAGAATCTGGCGGTCGATGGCGGTTTTAGCATCGTTAAGCTCACGTGAAAAAAAAAAAACGAAAGGATGGCATAAACTCTCTTTCATTTTAAAATCTTGAATAAAATCGAATTATTAAGTAATTCGATAGTTGTGGTTATGTTAGGCTCTTGAGTTAATATGGCCTCTTCTTGGCCCTTTTACCTTGAGTTTAATAGATTTCTTTTTTCTTTTAGTTTCTCAATTCTTTCTCGTTGTTCTTTTAGATTCTTCTTAGAGAAAATGTGCTCAAATATACCTTAAAAGTGACTTAATTACTGAGATAACACCCTTGGAGAGGGGTCTTACTCAAATAACACTTAAAAGTTGCCAAAAGTCTTTTAAGCGTCTCTCTAACTATTTTATTTATATGTTTGCCATTTAGAATTAAAAAAAGAACCATTAATCGAGATTAACTAAAAAGAGTGAGAAAGTGGAAAAGAGTGTTTGTGTTTGGTTTTTGTGTCGGGAACAACGGTCGGGCCTGAGGGAGAAATTCCGGTAAGATATCCGGTTGTGTTTCAATTAATGAGTTTGAGTTGTTCTGCTATTATGTTAGCAAAAGTATCAAACTGCTATGATTTTATAATAGAAATCGTTAATTGACTTACAGACGGATCTGTGTACAATTTGTGACGGCGAGGTTACGGCGAAGATACGGCGGCGATTAACGGCGGCAAATGTGGTAAGAATTTCTTAGTAAACCCTTATATTAATTTTTGAGGGATTTGAAATAGTTAGCTGTTGGAATAATTTTAAACCTAATCGTTCTGTTTTGTGATTTATGTTCTGATGGGATAAAGAGGTGGATTGATTAGTTGATCAAGCGAGTGAAGAAATGGGAGAAGAAGGTAACAAATTATGTATTTGAATTTGGCGGGGTTGATAATCTAATGATAGAAATATGGGATAGAGTTTCTTTGTACGTATATTTAGTAGAGTTACAAAAGAGAGACATAATGAAGTTGTACTTTGTGCAGTAATTGCGAAGAAGAGCTACCCCAAAAGACTTGATGCTGCAGGGAAAGCACCAATGAAGGGAAGGAGCATGCATATTAACTGCACCTTGGATAGTTTAGCAAAATTGAAAGAGAAGATTGGGGAAGATGCTTACTCTCAGATACGTGATCAGTCTAAAGTGGGAGTATTGTTGAAGCTTGCTGACAGTTCTTTTGTATGGTGGGGAAAGCTTGTGCATCACCTGTTAACTCATCAATTGGCAATTAGTAGGCCATATGAGATTTGGTGTCTCATTGAAGGGAGTCCAATAAGGTTTTCGCTTCATGAATATGAAGATATAACTGGTTTGAATTGTGCGGAAATTGATGTAGAGGACATAGTGGCGGTTGACCACAGAGAGTTTTGGGGAGATTTAAAGGTGGCTGCAGAGAAGGGGCCGAACTGGAATGAGTTGGAGTCAGCATTAAAAAGTTGTAGGAGTTGGAGTTTAGAAAAGAGGAAGATGCTTGGTCTGTTGGTCGTGGTGCATGTAGGTATATTGGGGATATCTAGGTCAAGTAGGATACCTTTGGACTATGCCAAGAGAGTGCTTGACACAGAGGCATTTGAGAGATTTCCATGGGGTCGAGTTGGATTTAAGGAGCTTATTACTTCAATAAAAGTTTTGAGTTATGATAGAACTTCATATGCTATCCATGGCTGTCCGCATGTCCTGAATATATAGGCATTTGACAGTATTCCACATCTTGCGAAATCACATGGGAACCAAGTACCGGATGATGGTGATGGCGATGAAGATGAACCAGAACCAGTGCCTCTCTTGCAATGGAATGGTGGTCGTCCAAGAATCTGTTTAAAAAATTTCTTTGAGACAGAGAAACTGAGAAAGAAGAAGGTATGTTTGTTCTCCTCAACTTTCATTACCCATATGTAGTCATAACAGTTAAATAGCTTATTTATGTCCTCCTCATGTAGATCAAGGTGCAGCATTTAGTGGTGAGGCCTATGGAAGAGATTTATCCTGTTTGGCCTGGAGAGAATGCTGTGTATGGGGAAGGTGTAGGTGCTAATAAGCTGGTGGATAATCTCCTGCATGATATTATTAATGGTGGTTTAAAAGAAAGTGGTTTTGGTGACCCGGAGATTGGGAAGAAAACTGGAAAGAGGAAGAAGGAAGTGGACAGTGAGGATGATTTTGTTGACCCACCTAAGAAGAGAAAAGCAGAGACAGAGAAACGCATAAAGAAGATAGGTAATAGTGGGAAGCAATTAAGAGATGTGAGTGATGATAGTGGGGAAGAGGTTCTGGGGAAACAAGGAATGGAGAGACTTTTTAAGATGATAGGCAGTTTGTCTGAAGAAATGAAAACATTGAACACCAATTTCGTGGCTGGGCTTGAGAAAGTAGACCTAAAATGCGAAGGGCTGAAGAAGAGTGTGACAGATCTGCAGGATGATGTGGAGAAGCTGAGGAACAAGGCAGAAGAGAAGAATGATGAGGTCAAGAAGATTCTGCAAATGGTTCAGAAGAAGGCACAGGAACCAACTCTGAGGTATGATGGGTACATCCTCTATTTAATTAGGAAGCATATGAGGTAAATATACTCTCAAAATTTTCACAAAGAGCCTGTTTTATGTATGCAGAAAACCGCAAGTTAGTTGCTTTGGGAGTCACATTTTTCAAGCTTGTGTCTCTTTATTTACTTATGATTCTTGAACTCATTGTTTTAAAAAGTGAACTTGTAAAACATAATTGAGTGGTAAATGGAGACTTAAATGTTAGCATTTGTAATGGCCAAGTTTATGTCTGTTTTGTACTTCTGATTTCTGAATCCTGAACTCATTGTTTTTAAAAGTGAACTTGTAAAACAGAATTGGGTGGTTAATGGAGACTTAAATGTTAGCATTTTTAATGGTTATGTTTGTTTAATCTCACTAAATGTTTGTTGTCTAGATTATTGAACTACGTTTATTTAGTCATGGCATAAGCAGGAGAAGCAGACTTCTCAAGAAGGTTATCCCATTTCCGTAGTCGTCAGGAGGGAAAAGGAAAAGGGTAAGGGTAAAAGGAAAGCAGGTTCAAAGAAATCAAAGACAACAAAATGTGTTGACCCAACGAAGACGTCCAAGAAGTTGTTTATGGAGGAAGATTCAGGGAGCATGTCACCTTTGGTAAAGGATCCAAAAGGTGGGTTAATGCATGACTCTGTAATGCATAATCTGATTGGTGAAACGTCATCTCCTGCTAAACAATTGAAGCCCTTCTCTGAGGCTGATTGGGATAGAAGAGATACACGATCTACAGCGGGAGTGATGACTAAGTCGATGTTGCATAAGCAGAAGACTTCTCCCCTTGGCAGATGCATAAAAAAGGAACCACCATCACCCAAAAAGTCAAAGTTGACTCCTTTATCTGAGAAGAAAAAAACAAAACCTGATTTGGTCTCAGAGTGGTCTCATTCTGAAGAGAATGATAAAGAGAAGAACTCAACAGCCGGACTAGACAAGTTGGTAGTCTTCTGTGGTAAAGAAGATTATGTTGATCGTCCATGTCGGTCTAGACACCTTGCTTCTACCCAGCTGGACCCATTCGTTGGGAGTTCAATAGTTAAGCGGATTGTGAGTGGTAAAATCCTTTCTCCTGCAGCTTATGATCCTTTTGAACCGGTCAGTCCTGAAAAGATGGATAAGTTAGAAAAATTTATTGACCATGATCTGTAAGTTCCAATCTCATTTATTTACCTTACTTTCGAACTCGTAAACCTTCACTTAGACGAGCTTAACTTTTTTCTTATATGTAGGGATAACCCTTTGGATTCCACGAATTCATCTGCCATGTTCTACATGAAGATCAAGATTCCAAAAGAGCATTGGCCTGAAGGAGAACCTGAATACGGATGGCTAACAGATGTGGTAAGTGAATGTATTAACAAGTAAGACATGTTAGTGTTTAAGACTATAATTTTACCTTAAGCGCTGTGTTTCATTCTTGTTGATGTCACAGCAATTGGCTCCAATCATGCAAATGCTCCGGAAAAGGTCAATGCAAACTGTATCTCCATTTTTGCCTGATAGGATTGCATTCCTTGATCCCTGGTTTGTGAATCAGTGGGCAGTAGATTACATCAAGTTTGATAAAGACTCCAATTGGAAATTTACTGATAAATATATTGATGTGTATAATGGGGAATCTCCACCTAATGGAAAGACATACAAGAAGTGGGTAAAGGATATAGATATTCTGTACCTTACTCACAACATTGGGAAAGATCATTGGGTAGCCCTGGAGATAAATTTAATGAGGCGGAGGATCAAAGTGTATGATAGCATCGTGTCCTGCTACACTGATGTGGAAATTTACGAAGCTTGCAGGCAGTTCACTAGGATGATACCTGCATTGATTCAAGCTATGCCACCTGTGGAAAAGAGAAAAAAACTTGGTGCTTCAGCCTTCTCCATCTACAGGGTAAAAACAGCTCCCCAAAACTTTCAAACAGGAGACTGTGGCGTATATTCTGTCAAATTCATAGAGTGTCTGGCCATTGGTATTAGCTTTGAGGGTTTGTGCGATTCAGCCATTCCTGGTATTCAGTTGAAGCTTGTTGCAGAGGTTTTTGATGAGGTCCCAGATTCCGATTGTTTCATCCAAATTAAAGACCCTTTTGGTGTTGACACCGTAGGTGTAGAGTTCATCTCCCAGAATGACCCTTCTTAATCTAGAGTTAACATGTAGTGTGTGCCGTGTGCAACTTTACAAGAATGCATACTCGGAATCTTACCAATTAGAGTATGCACCATTGTAAACATGACACTGTTTTATGTTTCTAGTATTTTGTAGGTGTAGAGTTCTACCTTGGTTCTAGTATTTTGTCATGAAACCTACTAAACCCTTAACAGGGAGAACAAACTAGTATCTATTTGTTAGAGATATTTCTTTCATAATTGAGAAACAAGGTTAAGCTTATTATGAGATAACATTACAACATAATAATAAGGGTTTAAGTGACAGAGTTTTGAAACAGAACAATAGGACAGAGTAGTGGCATTAAATAACAAGACTAATAATTCAGGTACTTGTTTTCATCGGAGTTTAACACATATTAAGAAACCTAACTGCGTAATTAAAGGCAAAGCAATGTTCGCAAATATCAAAACTTGGAGGATGGACTAACTTGCAAATCGGACCGAGTTGATCTAAATTAAAATGCCGGTAGAAAACACAAGCACCGGATGCCCCCATTGATTTGATCTGTAGCTCGACCTGATCTGCTATGAGGAAACCTTCGGTTAGGTCAGTCACCTTATCTAGAAAGGCATCAACGACGTAGTTACCCTCTTCTACTGCTCCACAGCAAAGGAGCATCATCCCAAAAGCGAAGAGTTGTGGATGTCGGATTCACACACTCAAGTATTTTGTTAAGCGGGAAAGATTATTCTTGAGGGACAAAAATGAATATGTAAAAACTTATAAATTGATACGAAAATTGCTATAGTATTTCTCTCTTTAGAGGAAGATCCCTTTTACATGGCCATTGGCCTCTATATTTATACATAGATAAACGACATTAAAATGAGCAATTAAGTACAATTATTCCTTCTTAAATGTGTCCATTTTGATTCTTCGACTTTAATGCTCAACGTTTGAATTTGAGTTGACTCTGATCTTCATGGGCCTCGCCTCCTTTGGCCCAAGTGTCTTTGAACCGACTTTCCCGTGTCTTCTACACCGAACTCGTGTCACAGTGCAGTCACTTCGGATTATCGAAATGGTGACAACCACTTCGACCGTCCCTTCGGCTCATGGGTCTAATGGGCTTCATCCTTTATGGGCCATTATCTTGATTACGTGGCAATCTTTGGTTGGTCTCGTACTTCTGGTGCGGGATCCGACACCAACAATTAGCCCCCCAAGTTCTTCGAAGTGCTATTCCAATTCGGAGGACTTTAAATGCTCAAGTGGCCAAAGATTGCGCTCGAGAATCTTTCTGATTTCCCGCCGAAAATCTCATCACTCCTTTAATTTTGGCACTATCCATTTTTAACCGAGTGACATCTGTCATCATTATGACCGTATATTGATTAATTACTATTAAAACGGGAAAAACCTTCCCACTTCCCACACGACTTCCGAGGCGGTTTCATCATTAGCTTGAGGTAACTTCTTTTCACCATTACTCTCTTCTTTTTACTTTTGTACTTTAATCAAAAACTCTCTCTTTTCTTCTTCACGAAAAACCTTTCTTCGCCGGATCTTGAATTTTTCATTTTTATTCGATGACTTCTGATTCTGAAAGACCTGAATCTCCGTCTTACGACGAGAGGCGTTCTAGTAATGACGAATGCACTCGTCCTAACGACATCGCCGGTCCTCATTACAAATCCACCTGTACTCTTCAATCCCTTGAGCGATTGAAGGGGCTTTGTCAAATTCCTCCTGGAATTATAGCGGAGGCGCAAATAGCCGACCCTACGGAATCTCCTGAGAACCACCGTGCCGGCTACTTTTGTGTTTACGAAATTTACTTCAAGGGCTGCGGATTGACCTTCCCCCTTCCCGAAGCTCTAGTTCGATTCTTGGCGGCTCTTGAGATCGCTTTACCTCAATTAACCCCCAATCTCCTTCGAACCATCCTCGGGATTATAACCGTTGCGGCGGAGGCTGGCTACGTCATTGGAGTCCCCGAGCTGAATGAACTCCTAAGCGTAAGGAGTTCATCAAAGAAAACTGGGTACTTCTCGGCGTATCCAAATGCCAATAGAAACGTCATCTCGCACCTCCCGAACAAGGATGAGAACTGGCACCATCCTTGGTTTCTGATTAAGAAAACTCCTGCTTCGATTGGGAATCTTTCCGATGTACTCCCATCGAAGTGGTCTGCGAAACCTGGTAGAGACTAGGTCGTATATTCCTTTATTGTTTATTATTATTTTTTACTGACCGAATTCGTTGTTTCATTTCGCAGCTTTCATCGCTTCAACTCTCCCGACTGAAGAACTTGTCAAGTTCTTCAAAAAAATCCTTGAAGGGGAAACCCTTTGGAATTCTTTTACCCTCGACCGATTTGTCGAGGCCAACCGGAAACTCAGGATGAGTCCTCCCAATCTACTTCATCGTCTTCCGCCTCCTCCCTCAACTCAGGGAATGTCAGCTCGGGCCCTTGCTGCCCAGCGTAAGAAGCTCTCCAAGCCGATAGCAGAGGCTTGTGATGAAAACAAGGCGTTCCTTGCGACCGCCATCGATAAAAAAGATTACAGCAGGACCCTGCTGGTTGATGACAACAGCTCCGAGGGAGCCAGATCCGTTGCTGCTTATAGGTTAACGCCTCGTCGCGAGCGCCGCGACGAGCGTTCTCCTCGGAGGGAGCGGTCTCCCCGTCGTGATTCTCCTCGTCTTCCCCGAGACGATTTCAGCAACGAACCACTTAAGAATTTGGTTCGTAAGAAGAGGGACAAGTCGTCCCGTGATGACTCGTCTCCGCGAAGGGAGAAATCAAGGGCCCGGACTGACCGTTCACCTCGATCCTCCCCTTCTACTGAACCAATGGGTCCTCCCCGACCTGTTGACATGTCTTCTTCTTTTCAGCCCGTCAGCGAAAAGACTGCTCGGAGTGCATCCCCTAATAGTGGAGATTCTGAATCTCGAGATGCTTCCTCGAGGCTGAAGCCTGCTCTGGTCCCTCAAGTCAAATCGCTTTCAGGTTTGGTGATTTACACATGCTTAAACTTTTCGTCTTTATTAAAATTCCAATTTTTACAATTCTTCCTTCTTCGCAGCTATGGAGACAGAAGGAAGCGTCTTCCGATGCTTCAAGACCCGTTCGGGTTCGATCTTGCCAGATTTCAACAAATGGCGCCCTGCAATTCGTGAACGCTATTTGCTTCACGCTTATCATTCATCTCGGGTTAGTTCCGTTTTCTTCCCCCCTTTTTTTTATTGTATTGCCATTCTGCGAACTGACTCGCCATCCCGGGTTCATGTATGATACTAGGCTCATAGCGAACTTAACGACATGATCGAACATTACGAAGGGTTGGTCAGTGGACGGGAGAAAGAGATTGATATGTGGAAGAAGAAATTCTCAGCTCTTGAGGCTGAACTCAATTCTTCTGCTGGCTCCAAGCATGATCTGGAGGACAAGGTCGACAGTTTAACATCCGAGCTTGCGCAGATAAAGGGGGAGCTGCAGGGTCAATACGACCAGAACTTCAAGCTCCAGGAAGAGTTTTCTGGTGTTCAGGGTAGGCTTCAAGAGTCCGAATCAAACGCTGATTCCCTGAACAACCAACTCATCGAGCTTAACGCGAAGTGCAAGGCGATTGCCAAATTGCGTGACTCCGAGTTGGCGAGGTCGGCATCAAAAGCCAGAAAAGAGGTTAAGGGACGCGGGATGGAGTTGATCCAAGGGGCCATTCGATTCATGCAGACTGAGAAGGCTAGGTCGGACTTGGAGTCAGACATCAAGGAGCACGAAAGCAACTTGATTCTGCTGGACCAAATCCATGAAGCAGATTTCTCCGAGGAGCAAGAAAGGACCGAGCTGTCGACTAACCTTTCTGAAAAACGGAGTCGCTTAGCAGCTCTTCCCACTTCGGCCTTCAACCCACTTGACTTCGAGGCATTCTTCACTGAATCGCCTCCTATAAGTGAATCAGGTCTAGACTGGGCAGGTAATGCTTGGCTCCTGATATTTATTGCCTTTTCTTACCTTGTACCTTTGATTGACTGGAATTATTATTCCTAGGCTCAAGTGAGACGGAAGACGTTGTCCCGCCCGCAGCTCCAATGGTACCAGAGGTCACTCCGGAGGTTGGTTGTACCGCGGAGGGTGGATCAGGAGTTTCATCTGACCAAGCGGCTGCCAAGGAGGCGAATGAAGCTTCGACTGTTGAGCCGGATTCCGAGGTGGAGATCACTCCGTAGTGGCTGCGTCCACTTTAAATTGGGGATTGTCCCTTTAACTTTAAGACTTAATTTATTTTTGGCCTAAGGAGGCTTTATTGTTTTTGGCCTAAGGAGGCTTTATTATTTTTTCAAGATATTTGCCTGAGGAGGCTTTTAAACCTTTCTAGGTTGTGACCCAAAGGGGTTTGGTTAAAATCATATGCGGGTTTGCAAAGTCCGCTTTTTAACCTTTTGTGGCCTTGTGGCAATGCTTTTGAGATTTTTAGGCTGATCAGACCTTTCTCTTTAGTATGCGAGAACTGAGCTCGGCTTAAGCGAGTTCCCCACTTCGGGTTTAGTCAACTCGATAAACTTACTGGGCTTGGGCCTTAGAAACTTTTGTAGTTAATGCGACGGTTGCGCTTTCCCTTCTTATAAGTAAGGAAAACGGCTCGTCTTTAATGCAAAAAGTGCTTTTTTTCTTGATTTCCAAAAATGGTTTAAACCACTCGGACACACTACCATTATTAGGTTTATGGTTCCAAGACAAACCCTAAATCATTATAAATAAAGGCTTACATACTTCTAAGCTTTATTTAAGCATGGCTTTAGAATCTTACTTGAGAAATACTTTAAGAATGGAAAACGAAGGAGTAGCCCCCATCAATCCCGGCAGCCCACTTTTCTTGTCCGGCGACGGATTTGAACCGGCCGGCGTTCTCTTTCCTCACGCCGTTTTTCACTTCCCTTCAAAGGAGAAGAAAGAGGCTTGCGACTTCATCGACAAGGTAAATATTTAAAGTTTTTGACTCAAAAACTTTTTGCTTCATTTT